TTGAAATATGTTATTCCAGGATCTTCTAGCTTTCAGAGTCTGTGTTGAAAGATCAGCTGTTATCCTGATTGGCTTACCCCTAAATGTAATCTGCTTCCTTTCTCTTGTAGCTTTTAAAATTCTCTCCTTATTCTGTATGTTGGGCATCTTCATTATAATGTGTCTAGGTGTGGATCTCTTATGATTTTGCACATTCGGCGTCCTGTAGGCTTCTAGGATTTGGGATTCTGTCTCATTCTTCAAGTCTGGGAAGTTTTCTCGTATTATTTCATTGAATAGACTGCTCATTCCTTTGGTTTGGAGCTCTGTACCTTCCTGTATCCCAATGACTCTTAAGTTTGGTCTCTTAATGTTATCCCATATTTCTTGGATGTTCTGCTCATGGTTTCTTAACAGTCTTGCTGAGCTGTCTACGTTCTTTTCCAGTTGAAATACTTTGTCTTCATTGTCTGATGTTCTATCTTCTAAGTGTTCTACTCTGCTGGTAGTATTCTCCATTGAGTTTTTAAGTTGGTTTATTGCTTCCTGCATTTCTAGGATTTCTGTTTGTTTGTTTTTTATAACCTCTATCTCCCTGTATAGTTGATCCTTTGCTTCCTGGATTTGTTTGCATAATTCATTGTCGAAGTGATCTTTCATTGTCTGATTTTGCTGTCTGATGTCTTCCTTGAGACTCCAGATCATCTGAAGCATGTATATCCTGAATTCTTTATCTGACATTCCATCTGCTGCAGCTGTTACCTCTTCTAAAGTTGCGTTGACCTGCATTGCTTATGGTCCTTTCTTTCCTTGTCTTTTCATACTGCTTGCGTATCTTTCCTGCAGGTGCGGGCGGCGGCTCTGCTCTCTCCTTATTCCAATTGGGGTGTCGTGGCTACCATGCTGGCAGGTCACTGGGCCTGTTCTGGGCGCTGGCGGCGGCTCTGTTCTGCCCCTATTCCAATTGGGGTGATGAGTGTACCACGCCGGCAGGCCACCGGGCCTGATCCGCCAGTCGGTTGCAGGTTTGCCTACCCTGCAGGCGCGGGCGGCGGCTCTACTCTGCCCCTACTCCAAATGGGGTGACGTGTCTGTCGTACCGGCAGGCCACTGGGCCTGTCCCGCTGGTCGGTCGCAGATCTGCCCACCTTTCGGGCACGGGTGGCGGCTCTGCTCTGCCCCTACTCCAATTGGGGTGTCGTGACTACCCCGCCTGCAGGTCGCTGGGCCTGTTCCTGGCACGGGCGGTGACTCTGCTCTGCCCCTACTCCAATTAGGGTGGTGTGTGTACCACGCCGGCAGGCTCCTGGGCCTGATCCGCCGGTCTGTCGCAGGTCTGCCTACCTTGGAGGCGCGGGCGGCGGATCTGCCCTGCCCCTCCTACCACGCCTGCGGACCCCTGGGCCTGATCTGCAGGTTGGTCACAGGTCTGCTCACCCTGCGGGCACGGGTGGCGGTTCCGCTCCGCCCCCACTCCAATTGGGGTCACGTGGCCACCACACCGGCAGGGCCTGATCCGGGCGTGGGAGAAGGATCTGCTCTGCCCCTACTCCAGTTGGGGTGACGTGTGTACCACACTGGCAGGCCACTGGGCATGACCTGCCAGTCTGTCACAGGTCTGTTTACCTTGCAAGCGCGGGCGGCGGCTCTGCCCTGCCCCTCCTACCACGCCCATGTACCACTGGGTCATGGGTCTGCCCACCTTGCGGGTGCGGGTGGCGGCTCCGCTCCGCCCCCTCTCCAATTGGGGTCACTCGGTCACCACGCTGGCGAGCCGCTGGGCCTGCTCCGGGCGCTGGCGTCGGCCCGGCTCCTCCCCTGTGGCTCGACGACAAATTGAAGAGACTCAGGTGTCTGTGCCTCACCCCCCCTACCAGGAGACCAACTGTTTCTGTCGCCGCTGGTATTGATGAAGTTCTCTCCTCCGCCGCTTTCTGATGACATCAGATCTCTGCCATGTTGGTATCCTATGCGAATGGCAGCATTTCGTTCCCCTTGCCGGGCAACCAAAGCAACGGGTGAGTCCTGACCGGCCCTCAGCAGGACCCGGACCGAGAAGCAGTTTCCGTGGGCTCCTAGCCCTGGGCCAGGGCAGTTCCGGGAGCCGGAACTCGGCCGCTCCGTGCTCGGTGTAAGCTCCGATAAGAGTAGGCTCCAAGAAGCAGTCCCCGCGGGCTCAGTTCCGGGAGCCGGAATTCGGCCGCTTAGTGCTTGGTGTATGCTCTGATAGGAGCAGGGTCCAAGAAGCAGCCTCCGCAGGCTCCCCAGCCCTGGGCCAGGGCGGTTCCAGGAGCCGGAACTCGGCCTTGTAGTATTTTTTTTAAGCCTGGTTCACATTAAACAAATGTCTGTTTCAAATTATTTTTTTAAGATTTTTATTTTATTTATTTATTTTTTATTTTAACTTATTTTTATTAGACTATTAGTTATACATATTAATAGGATTCATTGTGATATTTTCATACATGCATATCACTTACTTATTTATTTATACATGGTGCTGAGGATGGAACCCAAGGCATCATGCATGCGAGGCAAGTTCTGTACCACTGACTTACAGCCCCAGCCCAGTTTCAAATTATTTGCTATGCTCTAATTTATCCATATTCAGGATAAATATTATTTTACTTAAAAATTGTTAACAAATAGTAAGATGAGACTTGTTAATTAAAAATAGTCTTGTCATAAACTCTTCCCTTTTGTCTTTAACTTTTCTGTATAAATTGGTTAAAATTTTAACAGGAATTTCAACCTATTCTTCATCTTCCCATCATTTCATTCCTTCTTTTTAGATATATTTCTTTCCTTTTGAATCCCTTGGCTTCTTTAGTCACTTTATTTGAAAACTTTATGAATTTTATTAGGCAATATAACCTTTTTACTTATTCCTTTCAAAATACTCCTCAGTAGCTTTATAACTTTGAACATATATTTCTAAATTTAAACTAAGAAAAAAGTCAGAGCAAGCAGTTTTAAGACATAACAAGCAGCAATTTCTCTTTCTCAAGTGCCCTTGAACAATTTCAAAATGGAAATAAATTGAAGTCTTCTATCAATTGAGTCTTCCTCCTGGGCTACATTCTCAGTTTAATAGTACTAGCAATTACCATCCATGCAAGTTATTTTTAACCTACTCTTGTTAGTTTCTTCAAGGGTTAAAAACACATTTTAGCAACCTGATCTGAGATTCTCATTCAAATTAGAAATCAAAACTAAACACAATATTTATAATATCTCTCAGCATATTTCAAACAGAAATACATTAAAATTCAGAGTTTATTTTACTCATGACAGAAGACATACACAAAAACCTTGCTAGTTATCAATAACATAATTAATGATACTATTAAGTCCAAGAACTTTAATGCAATTTTATCATTTATGTATTTATGTTAACTAAATATTCCTTATAGCATTTTATTTTAACTTTAAAAAAATTTTTGTTATTGCTATATAATTTTTTATTCATTAGGTCTTAAGACTTCCAGTTTTGTGTTTTATCAAACAGTATAATGAGAATTAAATCAATGACTAGTATTTTAAATAATCTTGCATAGCCTTTATTACTAATTCACTTACATAAACCTATCCTGATTTACTATAGAAAACTTGAACTGTCAATATGAAATATTTTGTAACTAAAATAATTTAGATGAGACAATATCAAATTGTATTTTGATTTAAAACAAATAGTTGGTTGTTAATCCCAATAATTCCTTCTAGAAATAATACAAAATTATTGTAGTCAATTCCAAAATTTTTGATGCCTAGAAAAATAAAATTTTTAAGGAAAAGTCCCCCAGATCGCTTAACCAAGTCAAAAAAATAAGAATTAAAAGATACTGTTATCTCTAACAAATTCTTATAATTTTACTAATTTCTTCTCCAAATAAATTATTTGAAGTAAGATAAGAGATTACTGAAATTGAACATAGAATTACAACACATGCCCACACTCAGTATTTACTTGTTATGTATCCATGTAATCTTAGGCTTGGGGTTTCCTTCAGCTCGGCAGGTGAAGTAGACAGTATTTCCTGAGGTTACCTCCACATCTTGGGGCTCAAAAGTAATTCGGGGACTTTCTGCAACAACAACAAAAAAATCATTAGTATTTTAATTATAGTATTCTAAATTATTGTTGTGAAAATGCTGCCATAATTTTCTTTCTATATTTAAGTTTTACAGATCAAACTGCATTAACTAAGTAACCAAGTAATACACATACCACTTTACTTATTAGACATATATTTGATTTCAACCTTAGAAGTTTAAGAGTTACTACATAAAAGTAATTTAAGGAAATTTACCTGTATTTTTATAGAGGTAAAACACAGTCTTATTTATGTATAGTTCAATACAATCACATTTATGGAAAAAGTTTTGATTTTTATGGATCAATTTTTCAAACCAAGTACCTGAACTGAGTTTGCAATTTTGTAAGCACTATCCCAAGGCATTAGCTATCTGACTGTTTAAAATAGTTTATAAGAATTTATGCATCTAGATCTCAAATCTAAGCAAAATTACTTATAAATATAAATAAATGATACCATCCTCAAGTAATAAGAATTAAGTGGAAAAACATGGGAATATTTGAATCATTTCAATAAGAAAGTGAAGTGATTGATTTTTTTTAAAGGATTCAATATTATTAGATTTAAACTACAGAGAACAGTGTAAAAAAGGAATATTCACTTTTTATGGTAATCTTAAATAGTCTTACTTAAGACTTTACTTGAATTTTACCATAAGTTTAGAGATTCAAATCTTTCTAAATGACAAAATTCTTCCTTTTGTAAGTGAATTATTTGAGATTTCTTCTCAATAATGATCATTCCTATTATTACATTGCACAGATCTTGAGTAATCTTACCTACTTTGTTTAAGTCCATATGATCTATGACTTGGCTTGACCCTTTTGACTTGACACATTTGAGTATTAATTTTAAGGAATAATTCAGCATCAAGTGCCAAACCAGTGATGTAATCATGATCAAAGCAGAGAAGGCATTTGAACCTGCATGTTTATGTTTTCATTGAAGCAATTAAAATTAATCAAACATCAAAAAGTACAGATAATCAACTGTGATCGATGCTAAACTGCAGAACAAGGGACACTTTCACAGATTATGAGAAGGAATTTGACGTACCTACCTGTAAGCACAGATAGGTGAGTGGAAAGGAGATTGAGTAGAGCCTTCCCAAGTAACTAATACTTAGGAGAGGACTATAAGAAGACGAAGAGGTGGAAAAAGAATAGTGTAAGAAAAAGAAAACAGCATGTGGACAATCCTTGCGTGGAGTAAAGGCTTTAGGATTTTCAAAAATGTAAAGCATGTCATAGCAGCAACACCACCCGGTAAGGGAAGAGGAGAACGGATGGAGGTTGCAGAGGACAACCTGGGGCGCAAAACGGAAATGTGACCTTGGAAGGATGCTGTGCTTTATTTTGAGGTAGGCAGCTATAGAAGGATTATGTGCAGAAGAATGATGTAAGCAAATAAGTTTTTTAAAAAAGATTTTTCCAAACAAAACAGAACAGAGAGAGAAAAATGAAAGTTGAGACCTGGGTGAAGATACTTTGTGATCCACACAAAACAGTATCGATGTGAAATACAAATGGTAGTAAAGTTGTGACCAATGTGAGAATTACTTGGCCACAAAGACAAAGTCATTTTTCTTCTCAATTTGACAGAATTAAATTATATCAATTTGATTTTTCAAATTATCTGTTTAGAGACTTTTTAAAATGACTTTTCAGTGAAAGGATATTAGAAAGCAAATTTCTACTGTAAGTAAATCATCTGCATGAATTTACAAGAAGCTAAATTCTCCTCTCCCCTCTTCTCCCCCACACTGGCATATAAGTATTTATGTACATATGTATTAATTTATTTTCATTTAAAGCTATATGTAGGGATGGATACAGAAATATAGAAACTTTTAAAATAATTATATCTAAGCTTTAAATGAAAATTAAATGATATACTAAGCAACAATAATCAGTTCTTTAAATAAAGCATGATTATTTTATTAAGGTTATCTGACTATAAAAATATGCTTATTAAATCCAAGATTTACATTATTAAAAAATTTACAGAGAGATAGTAAAACTGATTCTTATTTTCACTTCAGTCATATTCATGGTCTCATGTGCATTTATCGAAGGATATTTTTAGCAATGAATATTAGCAACTATTTGATATAAAGTTAAAAAACAGAAATTATTCATGCTCAGCACTAAGTGATACTGAAGTGCGATGGAGAGTTTGGGGCTGGACACTACTTCTCTGTATTTTGTTTTTGGAATTAAGTGATCCCCAGGGTCTCTCCCAAACCTTAGTTTCTAATACCACAACTTCTTTAAATAAAAGTGTAGATGATGCAAAGGAAATTGGAAATCCTTTCAACCAAATCCCTTCTAAACATGTTTGATAATGTGCCCTTGCAAGTGCAACATCATTTACTAACCTCTGCAGGATAAGGACAATGAAAATAATTTTTTTTTAAATACTCAGAGAAAGTTACGTACCGCAATTAAATTCCTCCACTGTTACTGACGCAACCGGGCGCCCATGAAGTCCTTGGGGGTGGTCACATGTAGCAGCGGCCTGAGTTTGGCCATTCTGGATATAGCCTTGTAAAAGTTCCCCCAGCCACTTTAAATCACAGTCACAAACCAGAGCATTGGAATCCAGACGCCTGTGCATGCAGGCAAGAATTATAACTGTTAAAAGTGACCATTAATTTCTACGATGAATCTTTCATGTGAAAATATTTAATTTTCTCTAATTTATCATATCACTCATGTCTCGACTCTAGGATCTCTAGTTACCAACAAACACATTTTAAGAATTGCTTACTTAACAAAAATTCCCCGCACAAAGAAATGATTAACGTTTGAGGAAATGGAAGTGTTTATTATCCTGATTTGATCATTACCAATGCACTGTCCACATATATAGAATTTTACTGCACCCATAAAGATATACAAATATTATGTCTCCATAAAAATAAGGATGAAAAAGAATTGCTTACTTAATTGCATATATCACACAAATCCATGTTAAGACTTGAAATGCAACTTCCACATTACATACAATATATTGATTACAAATTATTAATTTTGGGATAAAATGTAATTATTTGTTTTAGAGAAAATTAAGAAAAGTACTGAAATGTTAGAGTTTGTTTCTATGATAAAGAGCAAAGACTATGACTTGATGGTGATATTTCAACTTTTTCATGGAGATTACTTAAATATTAGAGGCTCCATTGGCTCAAAGGAGGCTTATCAATGTATTTTTGTGTAAGATTAATGCAGCTGCCCAGGTGACTCCTTTTGTGTGTGTGTGGGGGGGTGCGGGTAGTGGGGATAGAACCCAGGGGTTCTCTAGTATTGAGCCATATCACCAGTCCTGTTTTGTTTTTTTGTTTTGTTTTGTTTTGTTTAATTTTGAGCCAGTCTCACTAAGTTGCTTAAACTGGCCTGGAACTTGAGATTCTCCTGCCTCAGTCTCTGGAGTTGCTGGAAATACCAGCATGTGCCAGATACCTGGCCTTCTTTTCTTTTGTAAATCTCCTTAGCATCTGCATGGATAAGCATGTATTCTCTGAAGGACAGAAACTGGACATTTTGTGATATTTCTTCACCTAGACACACAAGTTTCTCACTTTTGTCAAGTTTTCCATATTTTTTAATCCTTTCTAGCATGTTTTACTCTGGAAATAAAATTGATAGGTAGCCAAAGAGATTTATTATATACATCTTCATTCTTTTCAAAAGATGTAGAATAAGATGTAAACCCAGATATGATAAATTCTCCTTTTATTCCTTCCCAAAAATTAAAAAGGGAATTTGTCTAAAAGGAATTCTTACCTCCTCCTATGGAAGTAATCAGGTCACTCAATGAAAGAAAACTCTAGTGAAATAAGGATAATATGAATGTATTTAGGACAGGGAGGAGGCCTGTTATGAGGCTGAATATCTCTATCATAAGGATGTGTTCTACAAGACTGAAGCAGAATAGAAAATATTGATTTTTTAATAACTTTTAATCAGGATTACACATGTACAAAAAGTTGTTTAAAAATGTGGGAAAACAAACAAAAATGAAATCTATAGGAATCAGTATGAAAATTGAATAAAAGATCACCTAGTATTAATTTAGGAATTTGCATTAATATAAAGTTACTGGAACAAACAAACCTGAAATAAAAAACCATGATATTTTCTAGATTTAGAATTTAGAATATTTTTAAAAATATATGTCTTCATTTTAATGAATTTAAGGGAAACTTAATATAATGACAGCTCTGCGGAATGTACTATAGATGATTGGTTCCTAAGATTGTTATATTTATTTAAATTTATATTTACTTAAATTTATATTTATTTAAATTTATATTTATTTAAATTTTATTATAGTACACTGAAAAAATAGCTATTCAGTAGTTTTAAAATGCTAAAGTCAGGGGAAAAATTTCACACTCACTGAAAAATTAATGGTACAGCTATTATTTGCCTAATATTTCCAACAAGACTTCAAACAAAACTGAGAAAATAAAGCTGTGCCTATAATAGAGAATGTTTTCAGCCTTGTCCAGAGTAAAGTATGGGTAAAATATTAGACCAGCCCTTATTCAAGGATGCACTGTTGGTTTAGTGTCCTTGGTTGTTCCTTGTTACCAACAGATTTATTTTATCAGCTGCTCTGTTAAAAAGCATCTATTTCAGCATTATTGTGTCCAAAGTGCACATGTGCATTTCAAGTTTAATTTCTGGTAATTTTATTAAAGGTAGTCTACCATCATATATTAAAGAGTATGCCTTTACTTTCAATATCAACATGACATTGCTCTGAGTTGAACACAGCAAGGATGTTGATATAAATCCTTTGGGAGCATCACAGGCATAGGACCTTAACATTCCAGAATGTTCCATTCTCAGAAGTCATCACTGCTGACTTAGTGACTCTCCACTAGTCAATGATCACACTTCTTAGGTATCCTTATATCTGCGTGTCTTTGTAACAACTGAGCTCAGGATTTAGTATCTTCTTATATTACTGTCCACTTCAGTTAAGATATTCATCCATAAACTGAAACCAAAAAATAAGTGAAACCACCGTATGTATATTTTCATTTACCAGTTTAAAAACTCCTTTTATACTTAGAAAATATTTAATAGAGTACTAGAACTATACTTTTCTATGCTAATCTTTTGGGGAGACCCTTTGTAAATAGAGTATTTACAAACTTATAATTAAAAAGCATTTTTTTAAAATGCTGTGCCTTAATTTATGGTAACATTTTCAATTTGAAAAAAAATCTATAGAATAAATTAATGAGAAAGATGGTTCTTACTAACCTATATTAGACTACACTAAGTGCTGTAATATACTATGTTAAAATCATCACCATTTTATTACTTTACATTTTGAAAGTGTCCTTCCATCAAATATTACACCAAGAATAATAAAACATAATTTCCTCCTGACAGTATTCAATCAAGGATCACAACACTAAAATAATTATTCACTTGGCATAGTCACTATTCAGTGGACAATTTCAAAGGTAAAAAGGTGCCCAGCATATTAATATTTTCTGCTTGAAAACACAATAATATATCACTTGTACTTACATAATTGCTCATACTTAAAGATCTCAAAACACTTTTGAGGCATTCTATCAATGTTTACAGTATGCCTATAAGAAACATTGTGAAATATAGACGGAGGGGCCAATGTCAGGGGACTTCCACTAGGTCAAACCCAGGATGAAGTGGTGATTGTCAAATATGACTCTTGCTGGTTTCGCTAAGGGACACCCCCTAACTCCCATCCCGGCACTACTGGTGATTGACATTCCCCAGTTGTTGATGAACTTCATTGTTGAAAGTGGAATTTATTTGTTAGTATGTATAGCTCATTTATTAAGTGCCCATCACTCTCCTGATTCTGTTTTTCTCATCTAAATCATAGTCTGGGTAGGACACACATTTGAGGAATTGGGATAACTAGGTGCTAGTGTTCACCTTGTCTCAGAATGATCAGGATCTTGTGAATCCTGGAGCAATTTTCTCAGATCATCTGTATGTCAGTTTCCTATTCATAAAAGTAGATCATCAACATGACATACTAACAAAAATTACTTTAAAACATTTTAAATAAATACAGTGCAAGTATGTAAAATACTGGTACACCCCTGTTAGTAGGGTCTCCCTCAGCCACTTTCTTACTAACATTTACTTTTGCACATATGTTCCAGCAATGGAGTGAATGCAATCTTTAAAAAAAAATGCAAGAAATTGGAACAGAAAAGCCGCTACTAAGAAAGAATAATAGGAAGGTATTAAGAAAAGCTAAGGGATTTAGCACTTCAAGACTTTCTGAGCATCTTAGAAGCCAAGAATGAGACTCAGGTAGAAACCTATGTAGACAAGAGGCATTATAATTGCAAATATATGACAGTGACTCTAACTGTAAGTGATATCACAAATCTAACAAAGGGAAAAATGGCAAGTTAAAAATAAAACACAATTTTCTCCCACCCCCAAAATGAAGCATCCTATCAATGTTACAAAATGTCTTGGTATTTTGCATTTCCCACACACGATTAAAAAGCAAGAATAAATAAGTGTGTTATTCCAAATGCTTGTGATACAACCAGTTCTGACAAGTAGGAAAACATTGACCAAAATAAAGAGAGTCATCAATCAAGGCCTTTTGTGGGTTTGAACACAAAGGACACAGCCCAAGAATGATGAGGCAGCATTGTGTGTGTGTGTGTGTGTGTCTGCTATGAGAAGTGCCAAGGATATCATCAGCAGTATGGACTTGAAGAAATGAGGTAGGAGTGGATGCACTGTCCTCTTGATTATTAATTATTCTTTAAGTGCAAAGATTACAAGAATTGTTTCTAGACTGGAATCAAATGAAAATTTATGTTCCTTCGGGTTCTGATTTTTTACTTAATCTTAGCATCCCCTTTACTCATGAACTTGTATCAAGGCACACCATATCAGAAGAGCCACTGCCACAAAACTGGCCTCCAAGGAAGGTAACTGAGAGCGTGAATTTTCCACTATGTGCTCACCAGCTGGTATCTGGGGAGCAGTGAGTCGAGTCTGTCCTTCACCCCATCACTAGAACTTACATCTGTGTACTGAAGAACAAAATAACAAAAATAAAACATTAGCAGTGCAAGAGTACACACAGAGGGGTGAAGAGACAGGGCAGAAAAGTGGTTCACATGGGAAGGTAGAAAGTGAGGCGAAGTGGAAGACAGACAGGAGCAGGAAAGCCTCTGGAGTGGGGAACCATCAGAAGATTGGGAATTTTGTCTCATTCTATTTAATGTGGGAGTAAATGCCCTGGACTGATAACTCTATGTGCAACAAGGGAAAACGAAGCCTCATGGACTGTCTATGGTATATCTCACATCTCTCTCTCTCTTTTTTTTTTTTTTAATAAAAACTTAAAGGAAAAGAAAAGTCTTCAGAGTCTTTCAATTTGACCAGCAAGGAAATTGACCAGTGAGGAAAATTCTATCTTCAATATTCCTTTTGAATGTCACTTCTAAGGGAATACATGAAAGCTCAGTAGACTATCTGGGTCTTCTTTCACTCTGCAGTTCAAAAAAAACAACCATTTTCTCCTTAATACACTGGAATTGCAGTGATCTTTCACAGCAGAAGGAAGCAAAGCTGATCTTTGTTTAGGATTTATTTATTTCAGAGAAAATTACAAGGTTTTTTTTTGTTGTTGCTTTCATGGGTTTGCTCTTACTTACAGTCTTTTTAATGAATCCAGATGAGAAAAGCTCCCAGCTGGGATTGTAGATAATTTGTTGTTATGCAAAAATCTGAAAAAATAAAAGATAAGTTTCAGTCACCACATAGTAACAATAAGCCTGGGAAACAAAACATTGCTGTTGTTTTTTTTTTTTTTTTTCTGTTTAACCTAATTGTGAAATCAATTTTTTAAATTTTTTATTAGTGCATTATATTTTGATATTTTTATTAGTGCATTATATTCTATTAGTGCATTATAGTTACACTTAGTAGAGGGGTTCATTGAGACATATTCACCAGTGAATATACCATAATTTTCTTCATTTCATTTCTTAGTACTTCCCCTTTTTTCCCCCTCCTCCCTCTCCTTGACCTCCTTCCCTCTACTTTACTGATCTTCCTTCAATTTATTTTTTAAATTACCGCATTAAAAGTTATACATAAAAGTGGGATTCACCGTGATATATTCATACATGCACATAGCATGATTTGGTCAATTTCATTCTGCAGTTCCAGTACTTTTTAAAAAATATTCCAATGAGAAAGAACAAACAGAAAACAAAATGTCAATTATGTAATCATTTCTTCTTAAGTATACACCATTATACATGTATTTTTTCATCTGTGGTCTTTTGAATCTGTTACTTTGTTTACGGATGTTAAAGAGAAATTCATAAAAATAAATATCTAAGCATGCAAGAAATCAAGGTAAATAAAAAATGTTTCATTTTCAGTAAACAATGTATATACTTATTAAATCATCACATTGTACAAATTGAATATATGCAATATATTTTTGCCAATTAAATTTTTAATAACAAATGGATGGCACAATAAAAAATATATGATAGCAGACGTCTGCAAATGATCCATGACTAACTAGATCCTGTTGATGCCAGCACTTGGCCTGTGTTTCAGCTTCCTGGCCAACCATAGTTTTGCTTAATGAGAGGCCCATTTGGTGTGGCAGAGCTTGTTGGCTCAGACAGTCATTCACATATTAGCTCTCAAATCATGCCCACATACTGACACCCAGGGCAGTATTGCAGAGGAATGCATGTCCCAGGCTCCTGTGCCCTTGAGAGGTGGTAAGGATGGCTGGAAGTAGAGGAGACCCAGGCTGCAGTATTCTTTTCTCTCTTTACACCTACACAGTCCTGCAGTGGTTTGAGCTTCCTTCATTCTGTCTTTACCATAGCACCTCTTCCCAGGACTAGAAAGTTTATGGTTATAGAAGAAACCAGCTAGAGCCCATGTGGTCAAGATGACCATTAAATGCATATTCAACAAATATCACATATATGAACAGGGTGGAGGGTGGGAACTGTTCCTTGCAAAATAGAGCAAAAATGCATACCATTTCTCGAGAGACTAAAGGAAACAAATCACATCATATCTAGAAAATTTTAGCAATTAGTCATCTCCAGCCTACTCCCAACCTAGTGTCCTTATCTCAAAGTTAAATGAGGTCACTGGGGCACACTTTCTTATCTGTGCTATGTTTTTGGACTTATCTTGGCTATTTTACAGGTTAGGGGTGAAAGTAATAAGGAATAAACTGGGGTCAAACTCTTCTGGTTCTGGAAATTTGAATTTCCATTGATGCATCTGCAAAGGAAATAGTTTCCTCTGAATATTCCTATATGGATATCTTATACTCATCTTTACATGCCCTGCCCAATTCACCAAATTCAGAATCAGTGACTACAGAAGAAATTGTAATATAAAGATGGTCAAATACACCCTCTCCTTAAGTAAGCTGCCCCGGGACTCCCTAGACTTCTACATCAACTAGATCTGACTTTCAGATGCATATCCAGCTCTGCATTGTTCAATTTAGCAAGAACTCTGCTAAGTCAGTTTAAGCAGAACCCCTACCTGTGACACAAGATCAAATTTTTCATCCTCCACTCTCTCTCAAGTAAGGTCTGATCACCATATGCTCCTTAAGTACAAATCCTGTTAGGTCCGAGTAGCCAGAATTCTCCTTGCTCCTGATGTTTCCTCTTTTTCCATCCAGTGGCTCCCACTCTGTTCCTTGCCTATAAATTTTCTTTTGCTCATGCTTTACTTAGAGTTGAGCTCAATCTATCTCCTTTATGCAAGACCCCATTGCAATGGTCCCTGTGTCTATGACCATGGCCTCACTTAAATAAAGTCTTCTGTCACTTTAACAAGTGACACTGATTTTTTTTTTCATTTAACAATTGATGTCATGTTGTAATTCTTTTTCTACCACAAGCCCTAATCCCTATGCCATTTCTTTATTCCAAGCAATGCTGGATCAGTTTCATGGTAGAGAAATAGCTTGTAGAATATTACAGTTGAGGGTAATTTACATAAACTTACAATTTACATAATTTATTTTTGCTAATCTGTATCGTTTCCTTATTTTACAAGTAGAGTAGGTCTATGTGACAACAATAGTAAAAAAAGGCCTCTACAAATATGTATAAAAGTCTGAAAATTGCGTCAATAATCACAGATTGAAAAATGTTATCTATTTTCAAAGCCAAGCAGACCAGAAATAATTGTTTAACAAGCGAATCAGAAGAAAAGCAAAACATTTCCATCATCACAGAGACTTGAAGCAAGGTATATAAATATTGAAAAATCACTGTTGAACTTTTTTCTAAATATTATACAAGTCATGACTAGTTATCCAAATTAATATTTTTCAATATTTAGTTTATGTCATACATATTATAATTTCCAAATAAAGGATTATTCCTCTTGGGATTTGTTTTGTAACTCTTTCTTCCCAAGCAGATTAATTTATCTAAGCTTCAGTTTCTTTATCTATAAAATAAGAATTTTTATAACAAGTATCATTATTTTTCTCCAAGAATATTATATCAGTTTTAATACTAAAAATAGTAGTATTGTCTCAACAGTCCTATTTATTAAGGGCACAAAAACGAATGCTCTTTCTTTCTTTCTTTCTTTCTTTTCTTTTCTTTTCTTTCTTTCTTTTTCCTGCTTTCTTCTTTTCAAGTTCCCTGAAGTTAATCAAAACAGTTCTGAAGGGTATTTGTTAAAGCCTGCTTATAGAATCACTTTGAGTGTTTGATTACTTTATTCCCAACAATAACCTAAAAAGCACTTCTTGTATTGAAAATGTTATACAGCTATTTCTATGAATGTCTTCTGTCAAAAATGCTTTGTCAAAAAAAATACATATTTTAGCAGTATCTGCCATAGAGAATTTATTACGAAGATCTTTCTTTCCTGTAATGAAACTATATATGTAATCAAAAAAAGCCAAGTGATGAATAAGTTTTCCCCATTAATATTCTAAAAAAGAGAAAGCAAATCTGTCTGAGGTTTAAGTTAATGTTCCAAGATAGATCCCACAAAAAAAATCCAGAAAATTTCTAAAAAGTAGAGAAAACTTCCTGTTCAGTTCTTACTTGAGAAATATTCTTAGAAAGGACCTGACTTTCGTGAGGAGAATACTTATTTAATAAAGAAAACATTTTCCACTCTGGCTGTCTCCATACCCATGATGGCACTAAAGAGCCTCAAGCCATGTTTTCATTGGAGTGTGTACTCAAGAGTCATGTGAGCTCTTTCTGGGTACAAAATACCCAGGCTTTACTTCCTTTTCATGTACTTTTTATGCTTTTTTAAAAGTTGAATCAATGAAGACTCTTAAAGATGACTGGAAAATATAAAGTATTGATTGGTATTGTTAATGGGCACATGAAAGAGAAACACAAGGGACTATCTTTGCCAACAGTGTCCACAGCCATACCAATATAAAATTTGAAAATGGTGGTCAGAGATAAATGATATTGTTATAATATTCTGTAATACTTATCATGAATTATTAGTCCAAAAAGTCAAAATTCTGTAATTTTTGACATACTTTAATATACTACTTTAATTTTCTGCTTATGTATCAAACTCTAAAGAAACAGTTCAACATGGATCCATAAGATGTGTGTAAATGCTTTTGTTTGGCAATAGAATAATAGTGTGTCATGTTTCAAGATAAGGCTTATCTATTATAGAAAAAAAATTTGGTATGGGTGTGGCACCTCTATTGAAAAGAACGTTCCCATACAAGTGTTAGGCACTGATATATATGCATGCAACAAGAGGTGGATTGAGGTTTTAATAAAATAATTTAATTTTAGTATTTATAAATCATTCAGCAAACATATTTCAAGATTATAAGGAAAAGAATTCTGGTTCAAATTGTGAACTAGACATACAAATTTGCCTCAGATCTTTCAAGACTCTACTTCGGTAATAGTCAGGAGGAGGGTCAATACAAATAAATAAACCCATAAATAATCAGAATACAAATGTAGATAGTAACCCCAGATAAGATATTTCAGCAAATTCTGGGAATAATATTTCTGGGACAGTGTTGATAAATGAAATAGGCAAAGCTCCAGCCCAGAGAATACTATGAGGCAGGACCAATGTAATCCAGAGACACTAAAGAGTTGGGGCAGAAAGACAAGAATGAGAAGAGGAATTGAAAACACAGAGAATCATTAAACACATGAATGGAGAAGTACAGTTACTCAGACACTACCACCCTTTATAGGACACCAACTTCCTAGAAGAAAAATATATGTGTGATACGTGTGTGTGTGTGTGTGTGTGTGTGTGTGAGAAAGAGAGAGAGAGAGAGAGAGAGAGATATTTTTTTTCCTTCTCTAAGGAAATTGAACAAATAGAAGAAATGAATTCTGTGTAAGAGTTAGAACTCAAGAGAAAGCCTTCTTCATTCTAACATTTTAGGAAGATGAAGAGATAAATCTACCATTTTTCACCCAGTTGACCAAACTAAAATTCCCACCAAAGGGGAAATTGTGTAAGAAACAAACAGACCGGGGAGAGGAGGGGGGATAGTAGAGGATAGGAAAGGTAGCAGAATACAACAGTCACTAATATGGCATCATGTAAAAATGTGGATGTGTAACCGATGTGATTCTGCAATCTGTATTTGGGGTAAAAATGGGAGTTCCATAACCCACTTGAATCTAATGTATGAAATATGATATGTCAAGAGCTTTGTAATGTTTTGAACAACCAATAAAAAAAAAAGAAACAAACAGACCTACCTAGAGACAGGTAGAAACTCACCTTACCTGGCCAATATTTTCTAGTGTTAATAAAGAACTAAGCATCACAAGAGGTTAATCAGGAGAAAAATAAATAAATAAACAAACAAACAAACAAATAAAATGAAACTAACCCTAGGAAGAAAAAATAAATCCAAAGAATTTTTAAAATAGTAACAGAACAGATTATGATTAATAGGCTCAGAGATCTGAATATATAGTAGACCTATAAAACAAGAGTGAGATGCCATGGAACAGGAATAAGTAGGAAACAGGAAAGAGCTCTTTTGAATTACAATATGATTAAAATGCCATTAAAATTTGGTTATGAAATTAAAACTTATGTCAGATTATGAAGCCAAATGACAATTTAATCAACATTATGAAATGAAAGATAAAAGATATAGAAACCCAGAGAGTCTAATATTTATTTAAGAAGCTCCTAAAAGAAGAGACAAAAAGAATGAAGAAAACTAGTCAAATATATAAAGAGAAGCTCTTAAAACTGTAAATGAACTTGAGTCTACAATTGAAAGAACATATGAAATACCTAGCCCAATAACTGAAAAAAATCTTTCTTTGATTCAAATATATAAAATTTCAAAATACAAAAAAATGAAGAGAAAACTTTTGAAACTCCTTGCACAATAAATTTATTTTCTATAGAATAAATAAAACATAACCAGCTGGAAGAAATAGAACAGTTGAAAACTGTGACCAGAGGAAGCCATTTTTGAACTTAAAATTTTACACCAGATAAATTATCAATTAAGTATGAAGAAAGAACCCACATATCTCCAAGTATTAAGGATAATCAGTGCTTTCCCTTTAGCCTTTCATACAAAATTACTTAAGTATGTACACCAGCAGAATAAAGAAGTAAACCAAGAAAAAAGAAGAACTAATACTAGAAACCATGGGCTCAAACCATGGTGAATAGGCTGAAAAATGTCAGGTTGGTGACATTATTTAGAGAAAAGCCAGTTCAAATTAGAAGACTGGGATCTTTGGTAGAAAAAGGAGACTGTGTGGTTTGTATAATTTGGCAGTATAAAAAAATGTAAAGATTTTTCAAAGGCACATAATGTATTTTAAAACATATTAATTAATATAATTAGGATGTTCAAGGAAAGCAAAAAATCTGTTAAAAAAATTATAGTCCTAATCTGAAGCAAGCACAATGAACATTAAATACTTTAAAACATGTGAGAATAGAAAATTAATTTTCCTTTTGTAAAGAAAGGTATTTTTGAAGCAGTCATATTTGTGATATTTATATTTAGAAATGAAATCATAGCAAAGTTCCTGATTCTTTAATACATTAGTTAAAATGTATATGTGTGCGTGTACGTAATATATGTATATATAATGTACAGTGAATACATGTATTTATTTTTTAATTTTTAGAGATGATGTATGGTCAACAAGAGGAAGTTTAATTATAGTTGCAGATAGGATAAACATGCTAAATATTTAAATCTCAATAATAATAATAATAAATTTAACAGAAAGCACATGTGGAAAAGGAAGAAAAATGACAGAAAGAAGATAAAATTAGTCATCTAAAAAATTTAAAAGGAAAATCAAGAGAGGCTACCAAAATCATCAGTGCAAGAATTAGAAGTTCAACTATGGGCCAAACTAAATATATACATATTATATATATCATATTTGGGGATAAGACAATAAGGTAATCCTCATCTCTCCAGGTAGGAATCAATTAATAAAATGTGCGATTGAAAAGTAAAGAAGCAAAGACCTAGGGATATTATCTTGACAGTCATGAATAATATAAAAGAGAAATGGCTAAATGAGGCAGCCTTTGGAAAGAGGGTCGAGCTAGGGAATGTTTTTCCATAGGCTCTGTTGAACTCTGATTTGATAGCACATGGCTGCATCTCTAGGATAAGATAAATAGATGTATACTTATCTAAATAATAGAAAGGAAAACAAAAGATAAAAAGAGTTGATCACTTTCCTGTCCCTCTGAGCTTATTCATGGATCCCAGGATAAGCAGTCTCTTCTGTGAAAATGAGACTGCTGTCACTACAGGGCCTTTCAGGAATTCCACATCTACTCAGGTAGGACAACACTCCCTTCCCATCTTGGCAGCATAATAGGTGGGCTTGTGAGAGTCTTAATAGATGCTCTGGTATATCTTCGAAAAGCAATGCTCTTTCATCAGCAAAATTCCCCCCCCCCCCCACCAATTTAATCTGGTGCCCCAGTTCTTTTGAAGTTTGAGTTATTGTAACTGTAAATCTTACCCATGACATGTGTTGAACGCCATGGTTGTCACACACAGGACCTCTTGAACATACACATTATTGGAAGAGTACCATACGCTCTCCTACCCAGTTACCTATCCATCACCACAGACCTTGCAAAATAGCAAACAAAGCCAAACAGTGTGATTCCATGTGTTATGACCTCTATACTTCTAGAGGCAACCTGGTTTAGAGTAACTGTATTGGAAAGTGGCTGACGAGCCCTTACCTTTTTAATTTTACTATTTCTTACTATTTTATGCATAAGAGCATCATTGTTGAAGCTTATAAATTCCTAATTCATTCTTTTTTTAGGAAAACAGATTAATGATTAACTTAATCTATAAAATCTTACATTTTTTATTTCAAAAAAAAATGAGAATTCAGGGGTAAATGTAACTGTTCATAAAATGTCAGAACATTAGGGTTTTAAACTGATTCGTAATTATTCAGCCTTGCCATCAATTACTCCTGTACTCACCAGGACCAAGACCTTTGGTGAAGGAGAATCCTTGGTCGCATTGTGATTTACAGATTTGTTTATCTGGCATTTTTTTGCTATTTATTCAAATCAACTTCCCACAAACTGAAAAATGAATTCCATGAGCCTATTCTGAAAATGTGGGCCTCAGACAAACACTTGCTCATTCTCTGACAGAGCTCAGCAGCACACTCGTTCACCAGTCCTGTCCTGTCTGCTTCTGTCTTTTTTTGTATGTGTAATAAAGTCAATTGACCAAGTGACCACAAAGAGGGGCAATCTGTTTTTTAGCTGCTGTTCCTCTTATAGCTCCGACCATGTTGCTGTGTGATTATCTCAATTGGTCTTAATTGAGGCAGAAACTGAAGTTCTACCAATGAACTGTTTAAAAACAAGACACATTTTGTATTAAAATTGCTTGCAGTAAAAAAAAAAATGTACCTTAAGCTGAAGACAATAAATTTGTTAATTAAAGGTCTTAGAGAAACTGAAGTGGTAATGTGTCTTCACCTGATAAATAGATAAGACAAAAGGAGACTGTACCAGTGTCCTTTTGGTTTGTCATTGTTTGTCTATATAAGTTTTGTCGAAAATTCAGTCTTCTAGAAAAGTGCAGATGCCATGATAATAGAGCACAACGTGTGTCCCCAAAGTGAACACAGGTGTGTGATGACTGCCCAGGAAAAATGAGGAAAAAAACATTGTCAGAATCACAGAAACTTCCTTCACCATTCCCAGCCACCTTCTGTTCACCAAAGTTTACCACCATTTAACTTTTAAATACTACACATATTCCTGCTATGTGCATATAAATTTCTTTTAAGAATAAAATAAAGCTATGTAATTTCAGTGTTCAGGTTGTTTCTTCTCAGATTTTTCTGAGGTTCATCAGTGTTGTTTTATGATTTTCTATTTTATAAACTCACAATGTGTTTTTCACTATTCTCTTATTGTTGGAGACTTGGATTTATTCTAATGTGGAGAACACATATTCTGGTGCACACATATGTGCATTTCAGTTGTGAATCTCTTAGCTCTTATCTGTTGCTATAATATATTATTTGAGACCGTGTAATAATAAAGAATAGAAGCCTATTTGGATCGGGGTTTTGGAAGGTGGAAAGTCAAGGACAGGGCATCAGTACCTGTTCCACATCTGGTGAGGGCCTTCTCACCACATGACAACGTGACAGAGGGCATCATAGTGGGAGGGCAAGAGCATGCTAGCTCAGCTCTCTTTCTCTTCTTACAAAGTCACTATTGTCATCAGGGGGTGCCACCATTATGACTTCATCTGATCCTTATTATTACCCCAAAGGCCCCATTTTAAAACCCCATTAACATATAAATTTGGGGATTAAATTTGCAATACATGAAATTTTGGACTATGCATTCAGTCCACAGCAGTGTATAACTAGAAGTGGAGTTGCTATTACAGCTCATAGGAGATATGTATGTTCCATTGTAGTAGGTTCCACAACAGCTTTAACCCCGTGGCTTAACCCCATTTATGAAGTAGCCAATCATCTCTTTTATCCTGTTTTTATTTGGGTTATTCACCTCTTCATAGATTTCAAACTATGGGAGGTCTTACAGTAACTCTGTTTTATAAGGGTGTTTCCTAAGCTTACAGCAAAATGTTCTGATCCCCATGACAATCCAAGCTGTTGTATAAACAGAATATGCAAAGCAGAACATAAACACATCTAAAGGGTCAGCACTTACAGTCGCTCTAATTTCAGAAGGTCTTCAAAGGTCTCTGGATGTAGTGTTTCTAATTGGTTGAAATGGATATACCTGCAATGCACAAAACCAAGTTAGTTATTCCTTGTACTATTTAGTAAAATAAAATGTTTATGGAATAAACAAGAGCTTAAAATGAATTTTTTTAAATTTCGTTGGACCCAAACACCATACATCAGATACAAGAACTTAAATCTCCTTGCTCTTCATAGCTGTGAGTCTAAAAGCCTGATGTTCCAAAAGAAAAACTGAAGCCCATCCAGAGAAGCCAGATACCACTCCTTTTTCATGGAGTGTCCTGAATACAAAGATGCTGAGTAGTTGGTGAAATTACTCTTCTTCTTACTGAAAAAAAATGCAAGCAAGTGAAGCTAGAATAACAATCAAGATTGTAACCATTAATACACACATAACAAGTGACCATGCACTTTTTTTGCATTTCATAATAAGGAAATTTTTGCTATCTGGAGGAGGTAAATAAGTATATTTGAAGTAATGTGATTGATCCAGGAATGAGTTACTTAGCAATAGGAAAATACTCTGGACAATGCATTATTAAGCAATTTTGTCACTGTGTGAAAATGAGAGTACACTTACTCAAACCTAGATGGGTAGGTCATTGCTCTACATGGCCTCTCCATGCAACCAATAGACAGTGAACACCAGGTGCATGTGGTGGCTGCTGGCATAACATGACATACTGATTGAGAGTAAACACTTGTTCTATAAGTAGAAGGTGTACATTGCAAAATAACAGTTTAAAGTATGGTAAGATAAACAAATGAAATAGTCATTTATTATCCTTACCAAGTATTAGGTAATGTACAGAATATTTTGATATACTAGAAACACAAGAAGTCTATTCACACAAGTATCACTACAAATGTGTAATATGTTGCACTATGATATTACACTGGCTGTTTTGTCATTAGACAATAGGAATGTTTTAGCTCCAATATGACCTTATGGGACCACCTTCCTAACTGTGGTCAGTTGTTGACCAAAATTCTGTTAGGTAACACTTGGCGGCATTAGAAATGAATTAATTATCACATTGGAGGAGGAATGAGCCTTGATCATCTTTTTCTCCATTGACTTTAGATTAGAAAATGTCTACAGTAACTGCTTTATAACACAAAGGTAAAGACTGCCCTGATCCCCAGGGCAGTCCAATTTGTTGTATAAACTGAATATGTGAAGCAGAAGCCAAGTACCTCTAAAGGGTTAAAGGGAGGTTCTTTAAAATGAGGCCTTTTCAGTCTTCCTCTATGCAATTGGTCCTGCAGGTTTTCCCAAAGCTGTTGTTTCAGAAAAACCTCTCTTAAAACAGGATTTCTGATGACAAAAATGTTTGCATTTCTCCCCAAAATTCTGTGATAAAATGGAGATGCATGCTTCCAAATCAGAGGGCTGAGAAGACCTCTGGCCAAGTAAATCTTGCTAAAAGCAGGATCTATGGATGCAGCCACATCCTCCTCTCAAAAAATGTAAATGCACAGGCTGCACCTGATTTCTGAACACAGTTTTCATAAACCATCTTGTGAAATAAACAGTAATACACAGCAGTCTATAGTGACTTGCCTGCAGGAAGTACCTTAGATACCATACAAAGGAACAAAAAGTTTCATACTGAATCAGGAAGAGGACATTATGTCCATGTGGGAGGACACAGTAAATGGCCCTTGACTTTGTCAATGGGAAGTTATTTGACTTGAAGTAAAGACACAAATAAATGGAGAAGACTTGCGGTTATAATTGCATATAACATTTATTTAATTGCAGGAATATTTTTGAAAGAAGAAATTTAGAAAGCTTTTTTAAAAAAAGGAATAATTCTCTTCCTAGGCTTTTTATAAAAGAATTATGATAGAAAGACTACCCGCCATACCTATAGAAAAGCTTAATAATTAGAATAAAAAGGATGTAGATGAAAAGGAATGATAATTGCAAACTGTTTCAGATTCAGTCCTAAAATCAGTGTTGCACCCTCCTGCTCTCTGAAAGTTGTCTCCCTGGCTGGTGATGCCATGCATTCCTCTCAAGGTTCTTGTTCATTATAAGTGCTACACTGGTGACACTGTGATAATTGCCTTGGTATTTTCACAACACAACTTTATCCTTGTTTCTTTTGATATATATACATGCATAAGCACATTCACACATCACACACACACACACACACACACACATACACACTGTCCCCTACAAAATTATTATCTTTTGTAATTGGTCCAACACACAGTGAAGGAAAAAATTAAAGAAACTATGGGGAAGGTGTTAGGGGTGATGTTTGGGTGCTGAAGGAAAGAAGGCAAAGAGAGAAACTTTTGTGACTGCAGCATAGAAAGATTTGGAGAGAAATCTAGTGTAGAATTTTTCCTTCCAAACAGAATGCATTGTATCATTGGATTTCAACCTTCTGAATTTGTTATACATGCTCAATAATATAGGGTGTAAATAGATATTTATTGATGAATATGAATAGGTGCAGATAAAGGCTTTGAATTTTACATGAAGTAAATAAAATAACAGTAACAATAGAAAACATATATACAAGTGTTTTAAATGTACTTAGTCATTTTTTAAATCTTCAAAATTACAGTGAAAGTTTATGAAGATCCCCATTGTTTCATTGGGGAAAATATGGTACAGTGAGATGAATTAATTTGCTCCATATTGCACAGCTTAGAAATTCTGGGACCAAGACCCAGTTTGGGCAGATGTTTCTCTTAACACCTGGACATAACAGTCTCCGTCACTGGTACAAGAGTAGCTTCACACAATCTCAGCTGACATGCAAGATATGCATCTATAACCTATTGAAACCTGATATAACAATTCCAGGAGTGACATCTTTCTCAAGTATGGAAAAAAATCCTCCACAAGAAGAGTTAAGAGCTAATCAAAGGAAAATCCAAGTCACATATCTAGCAAAACCCATGATTTCAAACACTCTTAAAGGCTGCCTCACAGTTTGCCTACATTAGCGTTTCTGTAAGATGTGGAGTTTTTAACTAGAGGAAAGCATCACATTCCAGTCTTGGAGTAACCTAACAGGCCCCAAGAAAAGAAGTTTCAAGCTAGGTCTGTGGTTTAGCCAACTATATATTGCCAACCCAAAGATTTTACAAGTGAATATTCTAGCATAGAAATTAGCTAGACATTCATTTTCCTTTCTATCGTTTTATGCTTCTTTTGAGCAATGTATTTCATATTGCAATTTTAATCAAAAAGAAAATTTAAGTTTATGATGAATATTTTCAGCTGGTAGTAGCCTTCCTGCCATCATTGACCAATGTGCAGCCCCCATAATCTGCACAGATGTCTGGGTTACTAGAACAAGAACAAAAACTGCTTTCTATGGGTAGTATATCTGATATGCCCAGACAATTAAAATCAGGATGAAGAGGCAGGCCAAGGGTTTAAATAGCATGCAAAAGTTTATCCATTATCAAAGATACTATGATGTTAAGTATTGAATTATATAACTATCTTTTATAGTCAGTAGAATTTAAAATTTGTACTCCACAGTAATTAAAGTCGCTGATAAATATTGATTTTTGCATTAAAATAGTTTAAAAGTAGCAATTTATATTTAGAAATTCTTAAGATATGCAAAACTTCTTTTTTCTGAATGTACCCACTGAGACTGTACTAATCACAGTGCCCCATTTATTCCCCATTCCACCAATGCTTCCTTAGAACAAATCCCCTCAATTCCAGTCTCACCCGGGAAGCCCTACAGGTTGCATGATTTCCGCTGGACTTCAATCTAATACTCAGTAGGATAAGCAGCTGGTTTTTGAATTCGCTACTAATGAATGTGAAAAATGCACAAAAGTAGATATTTTTTCTTTGCAGGGAAATAAGACAACCTGGAGAGTTCTGTTTGATTATAGTGCAGGCATCTTTAAACAGCTTTTTTTTTTTCCATGAGATTTGACAAATTTCCTGACAATTTTTTTCAAAAGTAATTTTTTTTTAACTTCTAAACCAATTCAAAGCAGTAGGATACTTTAAGTTAGGTTTGTTTGATTTATGTGATGGCTTTAGCCTGGTCAAATAAAGAGAGATTTAACTTTGATTTCCTCTCCCTATTGAGCCTTGATAATACAGCAATTCTATATTCTTCTACAACCTTATTTTTTGCTAGGTTGTTGATAATCCTGACACTTTTGGACATCCATTGAAGGTAGATAAATGTGAGTGATTGCTTGTAAGAATATTAAATCTGTTTCAATCACTTAGAAAAATTTTGAGATAAATGGACAGTAGCTATCTCTTCACACACAGAAGGCAAAAAGTTACTGCCATTATTATTTCATGTTCATTCATACATAACCTCCCTAGATGATTTCACATACACCCACAGTTTCAATTATTATTTCTATTCAGAAGGCTTACAAATTATATCTCCAGCCTGGATTTACCTCTAGGATCTAGATTTGTATACTCCAGGCTTCCTAAATATCTTCTTGATGTTCCAAAGGTGCATCAAATTCAACATGCCTGAAATCCAAACCATGCTCCTCCTCTGCCATGCTTACTGCCTTCCATCGCTTCTAGCGTCCATTAACAGTGTCACCATGTATCTGCACAAGTCAGAAAGTCAGTGTTGACCCTCCTTTCCCTTACTCCCTGTATCCTATCCAACTCCAAATTCCTTGGATGTTGCCTCTGAAATATCTCTTGAATTTATTCCATTCTCCTTTCAGCCACTATTTTCACGCTAAAGCAAACTATACTCTCAGATACTGCAATGCAAGAACTATGCAACTAATGTACCTACTCCCATCTGCTCTCTCCCTTACAGAAACTTTTCTTAAGAATCTTACATAGCTTTCAACTTCCATAAGAGTAGAGTTCTTTAACAGAACACCAATCCTTGCCTGCCTGGTCTCATCTGAAATTTGTCCCCCCTCCCCTGTACCTGTTCTCCTTCACCAACACAACCCCAGCACTCTTGCCACCCCTTGATCTTGTCCTTGCCATACCCTTGCCCACAGGGTTCTTTGCACATTTATCTGCTCAGTCTGGAAACCCTTGTCCCCTCA